TCCCCCGTGAGAGCCGTACAAGGCCGTTAGGCAGTGATGTTGAACGTTTCTTAAACCTGAGCGCCCAAACTGCAATACCAAACTTATTTTCAGCGCTGGCACTTTGAGATAAATACATTGATTTTGCGTCGCAGTTTGGGCACTCGGGTTCAAAAAGGTTTGCCATCACTGCCATAGGCGACGCTTTAAAAGCTTTTACCGCTCATCAGTTTAGTATTAGTGATTGACGGCCCTAAAATTATTGCTCACACTCCGCATTCGTGGTGATATGTAACATGTGCAGCGCAATCGTCGTTTTCGCACTGGACGCGTATTTACAGTTATATGTGCATATACGTGGGGGTGGGGGGCTTAAAACATTTTTTTTTTTAAAACATTTACACTTAACGTTATTGCCGTTACGTAGTGGGCTGACAATCCCCCATGTGATAGCACAGGCACACTGACAGGTCCTCTATATGGAGACATTAGGGGTCTCAAAGACCCTTGTCACGTGGGGACCCCCAAATAAGCGGAGAAAGCAGAGTTCTGCTTCACAGGCTTCTTCTCAGGCTATAGCAGCCAGAGAATGACAGCTGAATGCGCAAGTGATGTAATACACATCACTTGGGCATTCAGACATCGGAGAGGAGATCAGCAAGGAGAACAATGCTGATCTCCCTCCCATCTTCCTGCTGAAAGCCGTCGAGCTGTGCCCGGTCCCGGGGGCAGGTCGATTGTATGTGTAACAGCGGTTACTGGCTGTTTATACTTGTCAGTGCATTTTTAGAAAAAAAACAAAAACAAATGTCACGCTTATACCAAAAAATATAAAAACACAAAAATTAAATAAAGACAAACAAATTACAATTGTAACAACAAACCACCAAAACATTCTCGCAATTCATATCAGTGTTCAAAACACAAACTTCAGTGTCCTCAATCCTTACAATATACTACTGTGTGAAAAACATGTCAAGGAAATCCAAACATGTTCCTATTTCAGTGTCTTCCACCAGTGGCTACGGGGTTAATCTCCATATGAATAGCCTCTCACCTTGCAATCAGACTTGTTCTCAGGTCTTTCATAGTGCTCCCTTTTTTACATCGGGCAAGATACGCACACTGACAAACTGTAGCTGATCTGTCTGCTCCTCCCTGTGATCCTCCACTGTCAAATCGACTTGTATTTCCAGGGGCAGGATGTCACCACCGCTCAACACAATATGAGCAAGAGAAAGAACAAGACACACCATTCAAATTAAAAAAAAAAAAAGCCTTAGTAAAATGTTTACATATATACAGCACACACCTCCACTACACTCCAGCAAGAGACTTACAATTCTCCGCTGCTAACATGAATAGGTTAAACCATGATCCATAGTACATAACATGTGGTGGTACTATGGATCATTTAAAGTCACCTGTCCCTGCAAGAAAAAGTATCGGTAATTGGTATCGGCAAGTACATGAGGGGATGTACTTGGGCCTGAAAAAGTGGCATCGGGACATCCCTAGTAAAATGCTATTCACGTATCCAGTAAATATAAAATGATGAATCAAATCGGCATATGGTAATATGCAGGCTTCACACTTTCCTCCACGTCTGCTTCACCACTCTACTTCATGTCACAAAACTCACACCTAATGTGTTACGCTCCCTGACAAAGTCAGGTGTGACCAAATATACGTAGGGCGGAGTCTTGTGACGCGAGGTAGAGTGGTGAGGCAGACATGCAGGAAGTGTGAAGTGTCTCCATGTTAACAAATCTTTATTTAATCCGAATGGTGTACTTCCTCCTGCTCATATAATGTGTTGAGCGGTGGCAACATCATGCCCCCAGGAAATAGGAGTTGAGCGGCAGTGGAGGATAGCAGGGAGGACATCATCTACAGTTGTTTGCCAGTGTGGGTGCTAGGGCTGCAACTAACAATTATTTTCATAATCAAATTAGATTTAAAAAAATTAACATTTTTTATGATTTAATATTATTAATGGTTTAGTTCATTATTAATACATATTACTTATTTATTAACTATTATGAGTTATTTCATTAAATATTAATTATTACCAAGGACTTCTCTCCTGGACTCCTCTCACCAGAGGCCTTTTCTGGGGAAATCAGATTGGCTGCACGCTTAAAACTGCGTCCTGGTGTGGGGATTCATACGTGTGAGCTGATTGGCTAGATATGACATTTTTAATCTCGTCTAGCTGAGCGCCAGAGAGGATATTACTAGACACACTGCACGCAAAGCTTTACATACCACCACTTACCTTTGCCGTGCGTGGCTCCGTGTGCAGTGCGTCACAGGCTTCGGGGTCGCATCACACCATCTCCTATTCATCCCGGGGAGGAAGAGATCATCCAGGGGAGGGACCCCAGGTGACACCGGAATGGCCCTGTTCATCAAAAGGGAGGAGGAGATCATCCAGAGGAGGAGAGGGAGAGGTCGATGGGTCCTCGGGCAGTGCTCAGTCAGTCAGCATGCGAGTGAGGCGGGGAGGGGGAGGGAGTGAGGGTGCAAACAGCCCAACTAATCGAGCAACCAACTAAGTGATAATGATAATTGTTGACGATTTTCATTCTCGACTTGTAAAAAGGGGAGCACTCTGAAAGACCTGAGAACAGAGGTGTGACTGCAAGGTGAGAGGCTAGTGAGGTGAGGACTAACCTCGTATCCACTGGTGAAAAACACAGAAATAAGAACGCTTGTTTGGATTTCTAGACATCTTTTTCACACAGCGGTGTATTGTATTGTGAACACTAAATGTATGTCACTTGTTTGGACACTGATTGTTTGGACACTGTTTAATGATATAAATGGTAATATTTTGGTGGTTTGTTGTCACAATTGTAATTTTTCTTCTTTGGACTTTCGGGTTTACATTTTTTGTTAAAAGCACAACACTTGTTTACATGGTTACATAGTTAGTCAGGTTGAAAAAAAAAAAAAAAGACAAGTCCATCGCATTCAACCTATAGAGATATGAAGAAAAAGAAAAAAAGGAAGAAAAGTCTAAAACCGAAAGCTATGCGGCAATCACCCACTGTTGATCCAAAGTAAGGCAAAAAAAAAAAAAATAAACCTATAAAGCATGGTTCAATTTGCTCCAACAGGGGAAAAAAATTCCTTCCTGATCCCATAAGGCAATCGGATATTCCCTAGATCAGGGGTGGCGAACCTTGGCACTCCAGCTGTTTTGGAACTACAAGTCCCATGAGGCATTGCAAGGCTCTGACAGCCACAGACATAACTCCCAGAGGCAGATGCATGTTGGGATTTGTAGTTTTGGCACAGCTGGAGTGCCAAGGTTCGCCACCACTGCCCTAGATCAACAATCTCCGATGTTTAATATACCTGTAAGAACTCAATATCCAGTAATATTCGGTGCATTTAGGAATACATCCAGATTTTTTTTTTTTAAACAATTAACTGAGCTAGCTAGAACTAGCTCCTGGGGGAGTCTATTTCACATGTTCACATCTCTAACTGTGAAGAACCCTTTCCTTATGCAAAGGTTAAACCTCTTTTCCTTCAGATGCAAATAGTGCCCCTTGTCCTTTGCAGTGACCTTGAAGTGAATAATTTGGCACCAAGCTCACTATATGGACCATTTATGTATTTATACATGGTGATCATGTCCCCCCTTAATCGCCTCTTCTCCAGAGAAAAAAAAAAAAATTCAGGTCCGTTAATCTTTCCTCATATTTTTTCTATTGTTTAGAATGGATATTTTGAACCACTTATAGGTGCAGGATTAATTATTCATTTAGAATTGGTTGGCCTTTTTTGTTTTCCACTGAACTGTAAAAGGTACATTTCATATAAAAAAAAAAAATGCAGTGCCACGGATGCGTCCAATGCATCCAATGAGTTAAGACAAACCTAGTGACTCTGGTAGGGGAAAGCTGAAGAGATAGTGAGGTGCAGAATATGCAGTTATTGGGAGATTGGTGACAGGACAGCTGTGCAGAAGAAAGAAAAGCAAGGAAGGGCAATTTAAATTGAGAAACTCTGGCATGCAGTAAATATTTGAACACATAAAACGTTCTTAGCTATAGGTCATACGCACACGATGTATGATGTTGGATTTGTCTGGAGTTCAACTTTAAGCTCTTGTTACAGGAACCAGAGCAAAGTTATGTATAAATCATCTACTCATATACACAATCCTGTATTATACGCAATTACCTTCACTCCTAACACACCCAATAAAATGCATGAAAAAAAATGCTAATGACTTCACTTTAAGGGGTAGAATGGCCATTGTTGTGTTAAAGGAGAACTATGCGGTTAAGGCTTTTCCCCATAGTTCTCCTTAGGGTAACGGGACGACACAAACTAGCGTCCTCCCTTCACCCTAGGCTCAGTATACTGAGACGCCGCAGCTGAAGCGGATCCCGACAATTGTGCCGGGATCCGCCCAGCTGCGTGACTCACAGCTGGCTCTGCCTATCTAGAGGCAGAGCCAGCTGTACCCGCCCCCTCCCTGTGTCCGTTCCGCCAGTCAGTGCTGGAAGATCAGAGCGGGGAGGGGGGAATCCAGCCCCTCCCCTGTCACGGCAGAGAGCCGTGACAGGATCGAGAGGTGAGCGAACGCCGGTATGTGTTTGCTCACCTCCCGATCTACTGAGCCGACCTGTGACAGTCTCATTGTCACAGGTCGGCTAGAACTATGAGGTGAGTGAAAAGCACTCACCTCAAAGTTCTCCTTTAAGGGGCAGTTAGCACTGCAATGAGTGCGCGGGGTGGAAGTCGGGATACTGCACAGTGGCAAATGTCTCTGGTGAGGGTCTGAACACTGAAAGTGAATACATTTTGTACTGAAATATAGCACGATGCATGTTTACCTAAATTTACTATTGTTGGCAGAAACATCCAGAACAAAAGCAGGAAGATGCAATGGGATTCTATGGGATATTGGATAAGATAATCCAGCTTTTAATTCAATTGTACTTTTCATTTATCTTGACCAATAGAAAACAGCCACACCTGGTAGTGGGATGAAGACTTACATTACTGATTTGATCTTGTGTCTTCTTAATTCTCTGCAGTTCAGGTGTATCAGCTACCACACTGAATCCTTTGCCCTTATTCTTTTCAAAGTCTTCCTTGTAGCGAATCTAAATAGAAGACATTACAATAGTATTTAATGCTTCTTGCAATAAAGACATAACTAAAAAAAAAAAAAAAAAAAACCCTTCTGGAGTTATCTGGTTGCTAGAACTTGTACTCGACTGTTAAGTAAATAATATTCTCACAAGATAGACAGACCATATACACATTTGCCCAAATTCAAAAATGATTCAATATTCCCTGCAAAGGCCTTATATGTCCTACTACTAGTTGTGCACCGAAATGGAAATTTCAAAACCTAAACGAAACAGAAATAAAAAAAAATTGTCAGGCGAAACAGAAAATGTGTTTATTTTTTTTTCAAATATTTTTTTTTAATAAACTTTAATTGTTTTATATTTATTTTTAGTCATTAATTCATTTTTTTATTAAATATTTTATACTTTAGTTTTAGGGGCTTTGGGGACATAATAGGGATTGAAACAGACCCCTGATATTTCCCTTATAAAATAGAAAAAGAGATTGAGGACACAAAGTCCTCAATCTCTTTTTCTGTATCCCCTGTTATCAATGAACAGGAATCCTCTATGAGTGTTCCTGTTCATTCATAACTTGAGAACATAATTGAGGATATAGTAACAATACCATGTCCTCAATTATCTACTCTGCAATTATCGCTCTGCCGGACCGCTGTGGGAGGAGAGACACCGGCTGCTCTCCTCCAGCAGCGCTCGGCCGGCTGTCACACTTTCTCTCCTCCCCGCTGGGACTCAGAGCAGTGCCCAGCGGGGAAGAGAAAAACCAGGGCTGCGCCAATTTATCGGCAGGAAAATGGCCCTTTCGGCATTTAGCCAAAAGTGCCATTTTTGGCCCATATGTTTCGGCAGCCGATATATCGGTGCATCCATACTTTCTACAGATCTGACTGCTCTGAGGACACTTTCTAAGTCATGGCTATAAGTGTGAGGTGATAATTCAATTTAAACATTACAAAATCCTTTCTGGTGATGTGACAAACAAAATGTCTCTTTTTACTTTCCATATCTGTTCTCACCCTGGCCTCTTCAGATAACATAAAAGTACAAAAAACGATTTTATTGGTTTTCTTCGTTTAAACACAAACTTTAATGATTCACATCCTCTTCTGTTGTATTGCCTGTAAATAGCAATCAGGCAAACAAGCGTTAAACCACTTTTAAGGTAATGCTTAAAGCGCAGAAGTACGGGACACTGGACTATGAAGGGGCCAATATAGAAATTTTTCCTGACCTCTCCAAGCGTACATTAGATAAACGAAGGGCCCTAAGACCTTTGACCAAAATCCTAAGGGAAAAAAATATAAAATATAGATGGGGCTTCCCATTTTGTTTATTGGTACAAAAGGACGGTAAAATTGTCGAGTTTCGCACCCCGGCGAAACGATTGGATATCAAGATGGTAAAGTTGGGACAATGGCCCGATCCACCAATAGGTGTTTTCACGAAGATACAGTATCAAGATCAATGGACAAAGGTCCCTCCTAAGAAGGGATGTTAGTGGGAAATGTGGACTGGGGGTTGGGGGAGATGGGATGAGAGAGAGTATGTGTATATACAAGGTTTGAGCATATATTTTTTATTCAGGGTTTGCTAGGGAGGCTTTTTGCGCACTAGAGAAAATTTAAATATGTGGGAACCGTCCCAATGGATGTGAGACATATCGTTTTGGGATGAATACTTGCGTGATTTTAATAATGATGGTGGTAATTGACAACAATAATAATAATACTATTAATAATAACAACTGATGCTTGAAATGGGGGTGGGGATTAAAAATTTAGTGCACTGAAGAACACACAGAAAGACACATTAAGGGGAAGTATGCAGTATCAGTGAGAAGGGGGGATAGTGTTGGGGTTTATTGCAAAGGGGGGAAAAAAGAGGAAGGGAAAAAAAAAAGGGAAAAAATGTACTATTATTTTTCTTGTGTGCGTCTTGTTTTTTTTTTCATATCTCTCTTTCTTTCTCTCCCTCTCCTGATCTTCTCCCCTCTCCCTCTCTCTTCCCTTATCTTTTGCTTTCTTATCCTTTTGTCTTTTTTTTACATATATTAATCAGTTGCTTTCTCTCCTGGGTTGGTCTTTGGAAAGGCCATCACATATCCCCGCTATAGGCAATGAACCCCAGCAGGTACACTCCTAAGGGGGTTGCTGAGGTACAAGGGTCGGGAATTTTGTCCAATAAGCCTAAAGGGGATAATTGTTTGTATAGGTATTTTTTTTTTTGTTTTGTTTTTTTCTGTTGGTGTTCTTTATTTATATTTTTGTATTGTTTTGTTGGTCCTCTTTGTCTTTTCTTTCTTTTTTCTTAGTTTATTCTTTGAGTCCGCAGGGGTGGTCCACCCTATATTCCGCTATGGTCCAACATCTGGAAACCTGCTCATCTTGGAGTGGTGAGCTATACCTGTGCTGCCTTATTTTGTGCTTTGACCTTAGACTGGGGTTATGATGACTACACATAGACCATTGATATTTGCTTCCCACAATGTTCGGGGTCTAAACTCTCCAGCGAAGAGAAAAATGGCATTTCAATATTACCACTCTCAGCTAGTGGACCTTCTCTTACTTCAGGAAACTCATTTCCCGATATCTTATCAACCTGCCTTTCTCAACAAATACTATCCTCCGTTTTTCCTGAGCAATGCCTCCGACAAGACTAGAGGGGTTGCCATTTGCCTTGCTAAAAATGTCTCATTTCGCTCGTTGCTGGAGATGGGAGACCCTGAGGGACGATGTTTAAATGTCCTTTCAATAATTAAATGACACCTTAGTTACACTCTTGTCCTATTATGCCCCCAACTCGGCCCAGGTTTCGTTTTTCACTTCTATGCTAAAAACCTTACTACCTAATTTTGAAGGCGAAGTGATCTGTGCAGGAGATTCTAATCTTGCCCTGGACAGTAATTTGGATAGGTATTATACTGGAGTATATAGACCTAGACGTTCCCAGAAAGCTGGTACGCGCCTTGCAAAACTGCTGTATTCTCATTCTCTAATAGACACATGGAGGGAAATGAACCCTGCAGTGAAAGACTACACGCATTTTTCCTCAGCACATCATAGTTATGCTAGGATAGATCACTTCTTTGTCTCCGCTTCGCTTGTGCCTCTGGTTGCCTCCTCCACCATTAGTGAGACGGCATGGTCAGACCACTCTTTGGTGTTGAAGGGACTCACTACACTATCATTAGCTGCTAAACCTTTTTGTTGGCGTTTGAACGAATCTCTGTTGGGGGAGGCTGCAGTACAGGGTGAGGTCCATTCAAACTTGGAATCCTATTTTGTTATCAATGCCACACCTGATATGTCCCCTACTATTGTATGGGCGGCCCATAAGGCGACAATTCGAGGCCGACTAATGGAATTGGCTACCAGAATAAAGAAGAGGGCAATTAGACGCATAAATGAACTGGACACGGAACTTTAAAGTTTATCTCGGGCTCATAAGCAGACTCAGTCATTAGATCTTTTGAAATCCCTGGATAAAACTAGATTAGAATTGAACTTGTTACTAACTACTAAAGCAAAAAAAAAGTCTTTGATGGTCAGATAACAAATACTATGTCCATAAAGACAAAATTGGTACCCTCTTAGCCACTAAACTATCCCCTAAACCTAGAGTTTACACGTTCCCTAAAATTCGATGTACCTCTGGTGCATACTCATTACATCCAGCAACTGTTCTTCAGGAATTTCACTCGTTTTTCACTAAACTTTATCAGGATAACACTCCAGTTTCATCTGATTCATTGAGATCATTTCTCAGTGAGGTTCACCTTCCATCCCTGTCATTGGATCATTCCATGATTATGGAAGCACCCATCTCGGCACTGGAAATTAAACAAGCTATCAAGCAGGCAAAATTGTCATCGGCTCCGG